TGGCGCTGGTGTCTCTGCTAGTTCTGGAGACGCTGCGCGGCCGTGACCGTACTTCGTACCGCTCCTTCAGTAGGTTCTTGGTCAGACTCCTCCTCCTTGTCCTTCTCCCTCCTTAGATTGTCCTCCACCCGTCCAGTCGCAGTCACGGTTACCGCCTGCCTCGCCTCTCCCTGGTCCCTCTCCTTACACTGGTCCCACAGGAGGTCTTACGGAGCGTCGTGAGCCTGATTCTCGTCCTGCGTCGCCTGTTCGTACTGCTCGCACTGGTCGTCGTGTCCCACGTGAGCGTCCTCCTCCTGTCCCTGGCACTCACTACATGACTCTGCGTCCTTCTACTGCTCCTCAGCGTGTCCCTCTGCCGTCTCCTCCTGCGTCCTCCCTACCTACTCTTCCTGACCCAGAGTCTGACTCCCGTCGTGCTGCCAGTCCCACTGTCACGCGTCTCCTAGCTACTGTTGTCACTGACCCTACCTTTGAGTCCTCTGCTGCATCTGCTCTGGTCGCTGAGTTGGTTGACTTTGCTGCCCGGTGTCGTCTAGACTACGCTGCTAGCCTTGTTGCTGAGTCTGAGTCTGTCTGTCCTCCGTCCGTCGGGGGTGAGTGTGCTCTTGGCACGGACGTCCTTGAGGACAGACAGGAGGAGTTCCAGTGCTTTGCTGCTGCTTTGCCCCATCTCATGTCCATGCTAGTTGCCCCTGAGGGAGACCCGGATGCACCAGACATCCCGACCCCGCGCTCTTACGCTGAGGCGATGGCGGGTCCCTACTCCTCTCAGTGGCAGACAGCCATGGACGCAGAGATGGCTTCCTGGAAATCCACAGGCACCTACGTTGACGAGGTTCCCCCACCTGGGGCGAACATCGTCAGTGGCATGTGGATTTTCAGGGTGAAGCGGCTGCCAGGTTCTCCGCCTGTCTTCAAGGCGCGTTACGTGGCTCGAGGCTTCAGTCAGCGGCAGGGAGTTGACTACTTTCAGACCTTCTCTCCCACCCCGAAGATGACTACTCTTCGGGTGCTGCTACACATAGCCGCTCAACGTGACTACGAGCTTCACTCTCTGGACTTCAGCACAGCCTTCTTACAGGGCAGCCTGCACGAGGAGATCTGGCTGCGCCGCCCACCTGGCTTCACTGGGACGTTTCCTCCTGGCACCCAGTGGAGCCTCCGGCAGCCAGTCTACGGTCTCCGCCAGGCGCCTCGTGAGTGGCACGACACACTGAGGACTACGCTTGCGGCTCTTGGGTTTGCTCCTTCTACTGCAGACCCGTCGCTGTTTCTACGCACCGACACCTCCTTGCCGCCGTTCTACATCCTCGTGTACGTCGACGACTTGGTCTTTGCTACAGCTGACACTGCTGGACTCGCCCACGTGAAGTCCGAGCTGCAGAGGAGACACACGTGCACAGACCTGGGTGAACTGCGCAGCTATCTTGGCTTGCAGATCACTCGGGACAGAGCACGCCGCACCATTACCCTGACTCAGTCACACATGGTGCAGCAGGTCCTTCAGCGCTTCGACTTCACGTACTCCTCGCCTCAGGCCACTCCTCTGTCTACTCGCCACTCGCTCTCAGCTCTGCCTTCGGATGAGTCCGTAGAGCCGAGTGGCCCGTACCCAGAGCTTGTTGGCTGCCTCATGTACCTGATGACCTGCACTCGACCTGACCTGGCCTACCCTCTTAGCATCCTGGCACGCTATGTTGCTCCTGGGAGACACCGACCAGAGCACATGGCTGCAGCGAAGAGGGTTTTGCGCTACTTGTGCAGTACGTCGGGCATGGGGCTCGTGCTTGGAGGGCGGAGTCCAGTGGTCCTCACTGGTCACGCAGACGCGTCTTGGGTCGACGACCTGGCTACGCAGCGGTCGTCACAGGGTTACACCTTTAGCCTTGGTTCCGGCTCTGTTTCGTGGCGGTCCACCCGCTCGTCTTCTGTTCTCAGCTCCAGTTGTGAGGCTGAGATCTACGCGGGAGCCATGGCTGCTCAGGAGTTACGCTGGCTGACCTACCTGCTGACTGACCTTGGAGAGCCGCCTCGTTCTCCTCCAGTCCTGTACGTAGACAACAAGGCCATGCTGGCCTTGTGTTGGGAGCACAGACTGGAGCACAGAACGAAGCACATTGCTCTTCGTTACTTCCTTGCTCGTGAGCTGCAGCAGCGTGGTCAGCTGCGCCTTGCTTACGTGGCCTCTCAGGCCAACACTGCTGATATCTTCACCAAGGCACTTCAGCCTTGTGATCATCAGCGCTTTTGTACGTTGCTAGGTCTTGTGCCTACTTTGCCTCACTTGCTCACTTCTTGACCTCGCTTGTACTGTGATATATATATCTATACCTGCTCTTGTTTGTTTACCTTCATATATAATCTTGCATGTGAACTGGCCTTATGGCCTTGAAACGATGCTCGGAATGTGTGGTGACATTGTGATCCACCCTGAGCTTACCTTGCTTTGCTTGACTGGTCTTGTGACCACTTGTTCTCCCCCACTTTGCCTATGGGGGTGTGTTAAACATCATATGCTGTAGTTGTGTAGGCTACAGTGGGTTTGGTTATAGGGGGTACAGTTTGTTAGAGTTTTGTACTTGTACTCCCAACCTTCCTAGTGCACACATTCCTCTCTTCTTTCACAGGGTCTAGAGGTCAGGGGGTAGAATTATTGGTACTCCTTTATTGGGGTTGCCATTATTGGTGGTACAATTATTGGTGTGGATGGATGGGGGTGGGCAGGGTAGCTGATAGCATAAATTTTCTGCTGTGTGGTTTCATAATTAATCCATTCAGTTGCAAGGTTCCCATTGCTATTCTATTAAGCCGGCACTATGTCTTTTTAGCATGGTATCAGAGCTACTCAAGAGGGCATGCTGCCAACATTTGGTCATTCACATTATACAGACATATTAGCATAATTGCATAGCAACGGGCAACGATTGGATCGAGGAAATGACACGGTTCGACGATGAAGTAGATGTCGGATATGTGGCGGTTGAAGAAGCAATCTTGGCTCAACATGAGCACCTGAAGAAGATGATTGCTAAGGGGCCGCCAACACTTCAAGCGTCATTGAGAGCGAAGTTCAACATGCGAATTGGCGAAGAGAGTGGCAGATTTGATAAAGTGGGCGTGGAAGGTGTGAGATTGGAATCTTACACGATTGGTTCTCCCCCGCTACGACGTCTTGCCACTAAAATTCATCCCCTTGGAGTTCTCGCAATGGGCAGATCTCACCTTTATGGGGAAAACATCATACCTCCTCGCGTGCCTCATCCACTAATGAGAATGGATCCTGCATGGAGCACGGAGCGCAGTCAAATGGTGTTGTACGGCATGATCGCGTAGGTATTATGGTGGAACATCACTCTTACGATCAAGACAACGGGATGCAACGCATGGGTGGTCAAGCGAGCAGAGACAACTCACATGCAAAGGACAATAAAAGGGAGAGAAAATGAATGGCAATGATGGAAAGGGCGGACGTTCAACTCTGTTGTGTTGGTTCTGCAAGCAACTGGGCCACCCATTCTACAAGTGTCATACGGCACCACCAGGATGGTCAGCACCGGGGTGGGAACAACAAAACAAAAGGAGGACCAACCAACGTACCAGCAACATCCGTTCGATCTCTCCTCGAAATGGTGGCAAACAGAAGGTGGACCAACCAACGTACCAGCAACAGCCGTTTGATCTCTCCTCGAAATGGTGGCAGCCCCAGACGTGACAACAATGGTATAAAGCAACAAGGGGCAGTAGAGAGAGACAACAAACAGACGGTTACATGTATTGCAACGGTTAGACCCTCACCAAGTGCTGGAGGTTCTCTGCGGTTGCTGGACAGCGGATGCAGCCAACACATGACTTCGGACAAAAGGTGGTTCGAAGATTTGAAGGAGTTGGACAAACCTGTGCATGTGGAGCTTGCTGATGGGAGCACTCTGAACAGCTCAATGGTGGGCACAATCAGAGCACAGGCAACCGAAAGAACAATGGTGCATTACACCGAAGTGCTCTACATACCCGGATTGAAGTCCAACCTCCTCTCTTACTGTCAGCTGCTGAAAAAGAAAACGTGTAGGGGTGATTCCTTAGAGGGTACAACAAACTTCTCGATATTCTTGTACCCCCCCCCCCCTTTACCTAATCGACCATTCATTCATCTCTACTCTTAACATGGTATAGAGCAGGAAGTTTCCTAGGGCCCACCACGGAAAACGAATTTTTTTTTGTTCCTGCCCGAAGCGCGCTTCGCGCCTCCCCTAGTCGCGCCTCGTGCGCTTGTTCTTAACGGCCCGTCGCGGCCCCCTCTTAAGGTCCCCTCGTGGCCTTCTCTTAAGGTCCCCTCGCGGCCCCGCTTAAGGCCCCCTTCGCGGCCCCTTTTCGCGGCCCCCCCCTTTCGCGGCCTCGTCGCCGCCCCTTCGCGGCTCCGTCGCCGCCCCTTCGCGGCTTCGTCGCTGCCCCTCGTCGCCCCTTCGCGGCCCCTCTAGGACCCGTCGCGGTCCCCTTCGGCCTCGTCTGCAGCAGCTGCCACCGCCGAGCCTGCAGCAGCTGCAGCCGCCGAGCCTGCAGCAGCAGCCGCCGCCCCATCTGCTGCAGCAGCCGCCGCCGACCCTGCAGCAGCAGCCGCCGCCCGACCTGCAGCAGCTGTCGCCGCCGCTCGACCTGCAGCAGCTGCCGCCACCGAGCCTGCAGCAGCAGCCGCGGCCGAACCTTGCAGCAGCAGCCGCCGCCGGACCTGCAGCAGCTGCCGCCGCCGACCCTGCAGCAGCAGCCGCCGCTCGACCTGCAGCAGCTGCCGCCGCCGAACCTGCAGCAGCAGCTGCGGCCAGACCTGCAGCAGCTGCCGCCGCCGAGCCTACAGCAGCGGCCGCCGCCGAGCCTGCAGCAGCTGCCGCCGCCGTCACGACTGCCCCGGCCCTGCCCTGCTAGAGCCGCACTGCCCTGCCCAACCGCGCTACTGCTGCTACTGTCACTGCTACCGCGCTGCTACTGTTCCTCCTACTGCTACTATGGCTAGCCCTCCTGTGCTAGCTTTCGATGCTGAGGGCCGCCCAGTGAAGTTTGACACCTGGCTAGATGACCTGCACCTCTTCCTACAGCTCACTGCCAAGGAGGACATTTCACTGTACGATCACGCCCTAGGCCATGCTACTGCCCCTCCTACCACTGCTGACAGCACTCAGCGCTCGCAGTGGCAGACTCGTGACGCCCACGCTCGCTTTGCTATTCGCAACTCCCTGCCGCTAGATGAGCGCGAGCACTTTGGCCAGCACAAGACTGCTAAGGACCTGTACACTGCTGTCGTTGCTCGCTACTCCTCACCTGCTTCTGCCGCACTAGGCCGCCTCTCTCTCCCCTACCTGTTCCCCGACCTGGCCTCCTTTCACACTGTCGCTGACCTCATCACCCACCTCAAGACTAGTGAGGCCCGCTTCCGCGCTGCTATGCCTGACGAGTTCCTGGCTAGCAACCCCCCACCGCTCTGGCTCACTCTCTACCACATCGTCACCCGCCTCCCTGACTCTCTGCGCGCAGTCAGGGATCACTTTCTAGCTCGCTGCCCCACTGAGCTCACCATTGCCCTCCTCGAGAAGGAACTCCTTGCAGCTGAGGCGAGCATCGTCGCTGTAGGTGCCTCTCGTGGCGAGCCCCGCACCCCTTTCTTTGAGGGGTGTTCCCCTTCCCCCCTTCTCCCCTCTGTCGCCTCTGCTTCTGCTGTCGACCTCCTTGGTGCTGAGAAGGTCGGGACCGCGTCTGCTCCGAGCGGGCGCCGCAGGAACAAAGGGGGCAAGGGTGGAGGTGGCGGCGGGGGAGGCGGGGGTGGAGGCGGTGGGAGTGGAGGTGCGACTGGAGAGACTAGTGGCGGCAGTGGGGGTAGTGACGGCAGCGGCGGAGGCGGTGGCAGGGGCGGGGGCGGCAGCGGGGGCGGAGGTGGTCGTGGCAGCGGCAGAGGAGGAGGTGGTCGAGGAGGTGGCGGCGGCATTGGTGGTCGTGGAGGCGCTGGCGGTGGTCTGAGCCAGCAGCACACTCCGTCGCTCCAGGAGGCCCGTGAGTGGTATTCCCAGCGCGCGGGGGAGTGTGGCTTTAGCTGCACGTACGTCATCCGCACTGGTGACCGCACTGGTCAGACGTGTGGGAAGCCGCACCCCACGCACCGCTGTTTCTCGCGCCTTGACGACGCTTGGCGCGCTCAGTTCCCTGACGGCGCTGAGCTCCCCCGCTGGCTTGAGCTGGAGAGGAAGGGAGTTGATATCTGGGCTTTAGACTTTGATGCTATTCTCACTGCCATGTATGCGATGTTTACTAGTGGAGAGGGTGCTCAGTACTTGCGTGTTCCGCCCGACCCGGGCATTCTGACCAGTGAGGCTGCTGCTCTAGGTGCTAGTGAGTCTGCTGCCCCAGGTGCTAGTGAGGCTGCTGCTCTAGGTGCTCGTGAGTCCGTGCCCCCTGGTACTGAGTCGACTGCAGCACTGCACACCTTCACACTGGACTCAGGTGCTTCTCGCTGTTTCTTTCGTGACCGCACTGTCCTTGAGCCACTTGCTCGGCCAGTTGCTGTCTCCCTCGCTGACCCCTCTGGGGGCCCGGTCATTGCGACCTCCTCCACTGTCCTTCCTTGTCCTGCGGTCCCGTCAGGCACACTGTCAGGTCTCCACCTCCCCTCGTTCTCTACGAACTTGGTGGCGGGTTGTGCGCTCCAGGACGGGGGTGTTCACCAGTTCACCCCTGCCTACGAGCGTGTGACACACTGCACGTGTGCTCGGACGGGCCGTCACCTGGCTACCTTCACTCGGCAGCCGGGGTCGGACCTATACACACTGACCACTGAGTCCCCTCAGGTAGCTGCGTCGGCGTCTGCGTCAGGTCAGCTGTCGGCCCCCTGCTCGTGTCGCTCTCTGGCGCATGAGACCGTCCTCTGGCACCACCGACTTGGTCACCCGTCTGTGCAGCGCCTTCGTGCCATGCACAAACGGTCCCTCGTTTCTGGTCTTCCCAGGGTTCTCCCTCCCCTCCCACCCTCGCCTGCTCCTCCCTGTCTTCCCTGTGTCGAGGGGCGGCAGCGCGCTGCTCCTCACTCCTCCTCCTTTCCCCCGACGACTGCTCCCTTGCAGACGCTCCACATGGACGTGTGGGGCCCAGCCCGCGTCCGTGGTCAGGGTCAGGAGAGGTACTTCCTGATAGTTGTTGACGACTACTCGCGCTACACCACGGTCTTCCCCTTGCGCACCAAGGGTGAGGTCCCTGATGTCTTGATCCCTTGGATCCGCAGAGCTCGTCTCCAGCTAGGCAAGCGTTTCCACTCGGACTTTCCTGTCCTGCGCTTGCACTCTGACAGAGGTGGTGAGTTCTCCTCCGACCTCTTGGCAGCCTACTGTGCTGAGCACGGCAGCACGGCATTGAGCAGTCGTTCACGCTTCCGGCCTCTCCACAGCAGAATGGGGTTGCTGAGCGCCGCATTGGCTTGGTCATGGAGGTCGCTCGTACCTCCCTGATCCATGCGGCTGCTCCCCACTTTCTGTGGCCGTTTGCGGTCCGATACGCCGCGCATCAGCTCAACCTCTGGCCCCGTGTCTCCGTGCCGGAGACTTCTCCGACACTGCGTTGGATGGGAGAGGTTGGCGATGCGTCGCGTTTCCGGGTCTGGGGATCCCGAGCTTTTGTTCGCGATACGTCTGCGGGCAAGCTCGACTCTCGCGCTGTTCCTTGTGTCTTCCTTGGCTTTGTCCCGGACGCGCCTGGCTGGCAGTTTTACCACGTCACCTCGCGCCGGGTTCTGCCCTCTCAGGACGTCACTTTTGACGAGTCCGTCCCCTTCTACCGCCTCTTCCCCTACCGCACTACCCCGCTCCCCCCCCGCCTCTCTTCCTCGCGCCAGGTGCTGCTGTGGTAGACCCCCTCCCCCCTCAGGGTGCCGCTCCCTCAGGTGTGTCCCAGGTAGACCCGGTTGAGCCTGTCGAGGTAGCTGTCGACTCTCGTCCTGCTAGGGGTGCTGAGCCTGAGCGTGAGGAGCCTGGCGGTGCTGAGTCTGAGGGTGCGGAGCCTGGGGGTGCTGCGCCTGGGGGTACTGAGCCTGGGGGTACTGCGTCTGGGGGTGCTGAGCCTGGGGGTGCTGAGCCTGGGGGTGCGGAGTCTGGAGGTGCTGCGTCTGGGGGTGCTGAGCCTGGGGGTGCTGAGTCTGGAGGTGCTGAGCCTGGGAGTGCTACACCTGGAGGAGCCCTCTCCTCACAGCAGCTACAGGAGAGGCACCTCCAGTACTGCAGCCTCAGGAGAGGTGCTGCTGGAGCTGGTACCAGTACTTCCCCTCCTACCCGGGAGCTCCCCTCCCTTCAGCAGATCCGAGAGTGGTACACGCGGCGCTGCAGTCTTCGGAGTGGCGCTCCTGGTGCTACGGTCCCTGGAGCTGGAGCTGTGACTGGTGCTGAGGACCCGGGCATTGGAGCTGCTGCTGGTGCTGAGGACTCGGACGGTGGAGCTGCTGCTGGTGCTGAGGACCCGAGCGGTGGAGCTGCTGCTGGAGCTGAGGACCCGAGCGGTGGAGCTGCTGCTGGTGCTGAGGACCCGAGCGGTGGAGCTGCTGCTGGTGCTGAGGACCCGAGCGTTGGAGCTGCTGCTGGTGCTGCGGACCCTGGCGCTGGTGTCTCTGCTAGTTCTGGAGACGCTGCGCGGCCGCGACCGTACTTCGTACCGCTCCTTCAGCAGGTTCTTGGTCAGACTCCTCCTCCTTGTCCTTCTCCCTCCTTAGATTGTCCTCCGCCCGTCCAGTCGCAGTCACGGTTACCGCCTGCCTCGCCTCTCCCTGGTCCCTCTCCTTACACTGGTCCCACAGGAGGTCTTACGGAGCGTCGTGAGCCTGATTCTCGTCCTGCGTCGCCTGTTCGTACTGCTCGCACTGGTCGTCGTGTCCCACGTGAGCGTCCTCCTCCTGTCCCTGGCACTCACTACATGACTCTGCGTCCTTCTACTGCTCCTCAGCGTGTCCCTCTGCCGTCTCCTCCTGCGTCCTCCCTACCTACTCTTCCTGACCCAGAGTCTGACTCCCGTCGTGCTGCCAGTCCCACTGTCACGCGTCTCCTAGCTACTGTTATCACTGACCCTACCTTTGAGTCCTCTGCTGCATCTGCTCTGGTCGCTGAGTTGGTTGACTTTGCTGCCCGGTGTCGTCTAGACTACGCTGCTAGCCTTGTTGCTGAGTCTGAGTCTGTCTGTCCTCCGTCCGTCGGGGGTGAGTGTGCTCTTGGCACGGACGTCCTTGAGGACAGACAGGAGGAGTTCCAGTGCTTTGCTGCTGCTTTGCCCCATCTCGTGTCCATGCTAGTTGCCCCTGAGGGAGACCCGGATGCACCAGACATCCCGACCCCGCGCTCTTACGCTGAGGCGATGGCGGGTCCCTACTCCTCTCAGTGGCAGACAGCCATGGACGCAGAGATGGCTTCCTGGAAATCCACAGGCACCTACGTCGACGAGGTTCCCCCACCTGGGGCGAACATCGTCAGTGGCATGTGGATTTTCAGGGTGAAGTGGCCGCCGGGTTCTCCTCCTGTCTTCAATGCGCGCTACGTTGCTCAAGGCTTCAGTCAGCGAGAGGGAGTAGACTTCTTCCATACCTTCTCCCCCACCCCGAAGATGACCACTCTTCGGGTTCTGCTGCACATAGCTGCTCACCGCGACTACGAGCTTCACTCTCTTGACTTCAGCACAGCTTTCTTACAGGGCAGCCTGCACGAGGAGATCTGGCTGCGCCGCCCTCCTGGCTTCACTGGGTCGTTTCCTTCTGGTACCCAGTGGAGGCTCCAGCGGCCGGTCTACGGTCTCCGCCAGGCGCCACGCGAGTGGCACGACACACTGAGGACGACACTTGCGGCTCTTGGGTTCGCTCCCTCCACTGCTGACCCGTCGCTGTTTCTACGCACCGACACCTTGCTGCCGCCGTTCTACATCCTCGTGTACGTCGACGACCTGGTCTTTGCCACTGCTGACACTGCGGCACTTGCCCACGTGAAGTCGGAACAGTAGAAGAGACACACGTGCACAGACCTGGGTGAACTGACAAGCTATCTTGGCTTGCGGATCACCCGGGACAGAGCACGGCGCACCATCACCTTGACTCAGTCACACATGGTGCAGCAGATTCTTCAGCGCTTCCGCTTCACGTACTCCTCGCCTCAGTCCACTCCCCTGCCTACCGGTCACTCGCTCTCAGCTCTACCTTCGGATGAGTCCGTAGAGCCGAGTGGCCCGTATCCAGAGCTTGTGGGCTGCCTCATGTACCTGATGACCTGCACTCGACCTGACCTTGCATACCCTCTTAGCATCCTTGCACACTATGTCGCTCCTGGCCGTCACAGGAAGGAGCACATGGATGCCGCTAAGAGGGTGTTGCGCTACTTGTGCAGTACGTCGGGCATGGGGCTAGTGCTTGGAGGGCGAGACCGAGTTGTACTTACTGGACACTCAGACGCTTCTTGGGCGGACGACCAGGCTACTCAGCGGTCGTCTCAGGGCTACACCTTCAGTCTTGGCTCTGGCTCAGTTTCTTGGCGTTCTACACGCTCTTCTTCTGTTCTCAGCTCCAGTTGTGAGGCTGAGATCTACGCCACAGCCATGGCGGCCCAGGAGCTACGCTGGCTGACCTACCTGCTGACCGACTTGGGAGAGCGGCCTCGTTCTCCTCCAGTGCTGTACGTCGACAACAAGGCTGCCATTGCCTTGTGTGAGGAGCACAGACTGGAGCACAGAACGAAGCACATCGCCCTGCGGTACTTCCTTGCTCGAGAGCTACAGCAGCGCGGTCAGCTTCGTCTGCGTTACGTGGCCACTGAGGCCAACACTGCTGATGTGTTCACCAAGGCGCTTCAGCCTTGTGACCATCAGCGTTTTTGTACTCTTCTAGGCCTTGTGCCTGCTGGACCTCACTTGCTTACTGCTTGACTCTGTTTGTACTGTGATCTCTATATATATTCCTGCATGCTTACACTTGCTAGGTTGTAATCATTGTACTACCTGCTCTGTTATAAAACTGCATGTGAACTGGCCTTGTGGCCACCTGCTTGTGCTCAGATTGTGTGGTGTCCTTGAGATCCACCCTGGGCTTTGTCTTATTTGCTCTTCTGCTTGACTGGTCTTGTGACCACTGTTAGGTTTGGCTATCCCCCCTACTTCACCTATGGGGGTGTGTCAAATTATATGTGTTATATTATATATCTCTAGGTTGTGTAGGGGTGATTCCTTAGAGGGTACAACAAACTTCTCGATAGTCTTGTACCCCCCCCTTTACCTAATCGACCATTCATTCCTCTCTACTCTTAACATGACTGTTAGAGATTAGCATATACAGATTGGACTTGGCGAGGACGTGCATGGAGTGCTCGTGGTGGACTATGAGCCAGCACTTACTTCTGCCCATGAAATCTGGTCACACTCATGAGGATGCACCATCAAATGCGCATGGTCACGGAGGATTGAGCGGTCAATCTGCTCATGCATCCGTCACCTACCGTATCGTGCATATGGCTCGCGTCGTGAGGGACATGACACCTGATGGCGACAAGGTCACGCACTCACCACGCACCTCTGATTAAACATTGCTGGACGTTGCGTCCTTGCTGAAATATCAACAGCATGATGATGAACTCTCATCCCACGTTGCGGCGTGGACTTCAGGGGGAGAAGAACAACGATCCGTGGTGGGTAAAGGGGACTCCAAGGAACTTGACTTACATGGAGCTGATAAAGAATGCAACTATAGGAATGGGAGTTGCTACAGCAAATGACTTGCCTGTAGCAAACGTGGTGAATGCACATGAGTCTACAAACACATGAGGGGGAGTGGGGTGTGGTGCAGTCTATACGCTAGAATGAGAGGCAAAGTTCATTCTTCAGTTTACGACATACGGTCAACATTGCACAATTCAAGGGGTCACTGATGCTGCTGCTACAAACGGTCAGCACTTGCTGCAGTGCTTCAGCTGATGCTGTCCGTGGGCAGCCGTGGTTTTGAGTGTACCTGCTGGTATCAGGGGAGTAACAAGACAAAATGGGTTGAGTAGTTGAAGGATTGGCTTCATATAGTGGAGCAAGGAGAAGAGCAGAATGCAAGCTACTGTTGATGCATGCGTGGTGGAGCTACAGGAGATGCAGCCCACGGTTCATGTGCTGTTACCATGAGGCAGCGGTTGCTGGTGCTGCTGAGCAACAGATGCTCTCGCCAAGAGCTTCTGCTGCAGCCAGGTGCTGCCAAGTGCTGCTGCCACCAGGTGCTCCTGACGACAGGTGGAGCTGCAGCTTTCCTCCGCCTAGTAGCTGCTGCAGAAGTCAAGGGGAGCTGCAGGCAGAGTGTTGGTGCAGAGTGCGTCTGCCGCCATCTGCTGCAGCAGGCCCGATGTTGCTGCAAGCGGCCAAGTGATGCTTCCGGCGGGTAGGAAATGTCGCAGCCGCCATGGCCAGTCGCCAGCAGCTGCTCCCGTGCGCCCGCTGGTGTGACAAGGGGAGAGCATCACAAGTAGAAGCAGACATGACTGACTCTGCATGCAGAACAAGACATGACATTACCGGGAAAAGGCAGCAAAGGTATACAAGGGAGAGCAAGGTTTATGTCACCACAAGTGCTTCTACAGCTACTACTACAGATGGTGATGATGAAACACATGAGGAAGTGCTTCATCTGGAGGAGTTGATGATGCAGTGTAAGAAGAAGATTTCAATGTGGAAGGACCCTGACCTAGTCACGACGAAGAAGGGACGCCGCTGCTGCCCTGCTGCTTCTGCCGCCCGCCACTACTGCCGATGTTGCAGCAGCCGCGCGTCACCAGGAGCAGCAGGTGGTGCATTCGCAGAGTAGCAGAAGCAGGTGCACGTCGCAGATGCAGCAGGGAACTCCCGCCAGCTCGTCAGCTGCTGCAGACGTGCTGCTGGCCGTCGATTGGAGCCGATGCAAGCGCGCGCAAGGCGATGCAGGCGCGCAGGCCGTCATAAGCACGGTTGTCACTGTTAGATAGCTGCTGCTGCCAATGTCAACGGGAGTTGTGTGTTGGCCCCGTCCTCGCTTGGGCGGAGCCGACTTCGTGGTCGGGTGTAGGGTGCAGCCGACCTGCAGCAGTGGGCGAGTTGGTCGACGAGGTTGGTCGACCTGCACGGGGAGCCACTGCATGGGCGCCGACTTCGGGAGGGCGCCAACTTCAGGTGGTCGACCTGGGACGTCGACCAGACCTTCTGGTCGAATAGGAGTGACGTCGACTTGGAGCTGGTCGACCAGGGGATAGTGGTCGACCTGGGGAGGTCGACTGGAGGTGTCCGTCGACTTGGGAGGTCGACCGGCACGTACCAGAGGCAGTGGTCGACCTGGGAGGTCGACCGGAAGTGGTCGTCGACCTGGGTGGTCGACGGGCACGCACTGGAGCCTCTGGTCGACCTGGTTGCCCGGTCGACCAGGTTACAAGGGTGACGAGGTGTGGCGAAGGCTTGCGATGGTCGCCCAGGTGGTTTTGGCGAGGACGACCTCGGTGGTGGTATCCCGAGGTCGACGTGGTGCATCAGAAGCAGTCGTCAGCACGAAGTTGATGTGGTGTGTGCGTTGTGCAGGTGACGAGGCACTGCACGCCAATCATCTGCGCGCACCTGCGAAGCGGGTGCGATGCTGTACTGTGGGAGAAACGCTGGCACGCCGTCGACTTGCGTTGTTGTCACGCCGTCGACCTGCAGTGTTGGCAAGCCGCGACTCTGCACTGCTGGAACGCGGTCGACCAAGTCGTGCTGGCGCGCAGTCGACCGTGCTGCGCTGGCAGTAGACTTGCTTGCATGCTAGCTCTGATGTAGTCCTACCTTGCCAACTTCATTGTATCATTATTGTTGTCAACTTTCTCTAGTGAAACTCTTGCCAAATTGCCTTGTGAACTAGCAAGCAGTGTGTGCACTAGGAAAACGACTAAGGACCAATGAACGCAGAGATCACACGAGCACCCGTGCCTAGCCCGTAGTCTAGCTCCCGTGGTAGTAGTTATCTCCGCAGCCAAGAGTTGTTCGCAGTGGTAGGGGGAGATCGTGAACCAGCAGCAGCCAACAGAGCTGCAGAAATCGCGAATACGGCTGCTGCAGGGCGTTGCACCATAGAACAGTGCGCGCGCCTTACTACAGATGTTGCGCACCAGCAGCGGTCGTCAAGAGACTGCAGAGAAACGAGCACGACACGCACTGCACGCAATTCAGGAGCTGAACAAGCCACACAACAGAAGTTGAGCAGTCGCTGCAGCAGCACGCCACGCGCCAGCATCGCACGCTGCTTCTAAGGACATGCGCTGGGTACTGAAACAGCGCGCAACGGCAATACGCGTTCATCTACTGCTGCGAGCCAAGCCGACAGCTCGCCGTGACAAAACGCTACTGAGAAATCTAGATCTGGAATGTGCTTGGAGTAACGAGAAGGGAAGGAACGAGATTGACACGCTGGGGTTGGAAGCGAGCGTGAGGAGCAGAGGCGATGTGAGGAGCAGAGGCGATGTGATAGGTGTACGAGTAGAGGCGGGAACGCCCATGGGAGGGTTCGAAAGCAGCAGAAACAGAATCATGCATTGCAGCCCCGACAGTTGAACGTGGGGTACATAAATTGACCGCAGCTGCTGCAGTACCCAACTCACCTATGTGTTTCCCAACGAAAACCCTAGGCATGTTTTTGTCGCAATCAACGCTCTCCTAAATCGGCTCCGCGATCAACGCCACAGTCAACCGCAATTACCTCCGTCACAAAAGCATCACATCATCCACACCATCATCTACAAACAAACTCACCGAAATCTAGAGCAAGCGGGAGTGTTGGAAATGTAAAGCATAAGAAACATATATGCTGTTAAATTTTAGTGTAGTACCCTTTATAAGGCTCCTGTCCCTACAATAATTGTACAAATATGTTAGGGGCTAAATGTTTGGGGTCTAGAGGTCAGGGAGTAGAATTATTGGTACTCCTTTATTTGGGTTGCCATTATTGGTGGTACAATTATCGGTGTGGATGGATGGGTGTGGGAAGGGTAGCTGATAGCATAAATTCCCTGCTGTGTGGTTTCATAATCAATTCATTCAATTGCAAGGTTTTCTTGCTATTCAATTTCACAATGAAGGCTTCCGCTACGCCGGCACTATGCCTTTCTAGCATACAGTATCTCATATTGTCTAGAACATGAAATCAAGGCCCTCATGTATGCGTGGGTTAAAATGGTTCCCGCACACCCCACCAGTCCACACTCCAATTTAATATTTTGTATGTGTCATCGAAACACCTACGAGAGGCGGGAGCCGTGCTTTCTTAGGTTCCTCGGGTTGCATCTCCTCGGGTTCCTTCTTGACTTTGTCAGGATGCGTCAGCACGACGAATGATAGAGATCACTCCGACAAGATCAACGGCCTCTGCTACATCGTGATTGCATTTCGTGTCAACGGCTTCCCTCCAAAATTTAGAAGCATCTACTGTCCACATTCCAAACTTCGAATTCATTCGGGCCAGTTCATTTGCGACCGTCAAATTGACATCCAATTATCCAAATGAATGGTCTACATTCCAACTTTCCAGAAGAAATTGTCCAAGCCGTTTCAGCCGCGGGATTCAGCTGAGGAGGAAATTTACGGCATCCTTGTTAGTTCGGGCTTCTTCTACGTACAAGACTGTCTTATTTAGGAGGTCAGAGAGTGTAGGGATTTGTAAATCCTTACTGAGGCACTCATTAGCGGGGCCATCCCGAGGCCACGCGACCAGCTGGTTTGGCCTACATTACCACATCCGAACATCCCAACGCTATTCGCTCGACGGAACCGCTTTGCCTGGGTCAACGAGAGTGGTTGTCGGGCCCAGGGCTGTCGAGGCGTGGCATTGACACACGTGCGAGCCCGCCAGCCTGGCCAAAGGACGAGTTCGCCCGCGTGCAAATTCTCGTACCTAGCGAAAT